GTAGAGCATTGTTCTATTACTTCACTGAATCAACTCAAGATCCTTCTACCAAGCCTCTTGTTTTGTGGTTAAATGGAGGTAAATACACGCACCATACTACCCCAATTGCCAAGTCGAAGAAAGTTTTTTCCAACACTAGTTTCGTGCAAACATATGAAGAGTTTAAATAAAATCATTTTTCGTCTCTTTATTGTGTTATTCATTCTGCTGCTGCTCTAAAAACTATGTTGGCGCACTTGTCATGTTACTTTGTTTTTCTATACATACTTATTATACAGGACCTGGTTGCTCTTCATTTGGGGCTGGAGCGATGATGGAACTTGGACCATTCCGTGTAAATAAAGATGGAAAAACCTTGTGGCTCAACCCTTTTGCCTGGAACAATGGTACTTGCACACATCTTTTCTGCAAAATCTGTAATCACGATTGAGAGTAATCTAAATAATTAATACTAACAACAATTTTGTGAACTAATGCAGTGGCAAACATCCTCTTTTTAGAATCACCTGCTGGAGTTGGATTCTCTTATTCTAACACATCATCAGATTATACTACTGGGGACGAAAAGACCAGACAAGATAGTTTTACCTTTCTCATCAATTGGATGGAAAGATTCCCTGAATATAAACACCGAGATTTCTACATTACTGGAGAGAGTTATGCTGGCCACTATGTGCCTCAACTTGCTCAGCTGATCTTATCCTACAAGAAAACAGAACCAAACCTTGTCATTAACTTGCAAGGATTAGCTGTAAGCTAACCTTCAAATGGTCACTAAATTCTTTTTCTCCTGATTAAGTCACTAGTTATATTGCGTCTGCGTCTTAATTGCATGCATATGGCATGGATTTCAGACTGGAAATGGCATCATCGATGACGAAACAATGAACAGTGGTACATACGACTTTTATTGGACCCATGCTCTAATATCAGATGAAGTCCATGACGGAATTGTCTTGAATTGCAACTTCTCGGCAGAGACAACCTCAGAAGCATGTAATGAGTACATTAAGCAAGCAGATTCATGTCAAGGCAATATATATGCTTACAACACATATTCCCAACTGTGCAACTCCTCTGCCTATACTTCCCTTCCTGTAAGTTTCTCTGGCTAACTTCTCATTCATTATTGAGTAAAAAGATATATTTGCAGTGCCCAAATTAAGGTGAGGAACATGGTAAGAGGAAAAAAATACCACGCACAATAACATTCTACGCCCCAATACGCACACCTCTCAGTAGATTTTACATACCTTCTGTTAAAATTTTTTGATGCAACTTCTTCTTTTGTGTATCATAACAGATACATGGATTTGATCCATGCTCAGCTGATTACGTAGAAAATTACCTAAACACTGCTGAAGTACAAAAGGCCCTTAATGTCAAAGATGCACCCTATTCCTGGGATTCTTGCAAGTAATAATACATTCAGTTCTCTAAAACATTTTCATTCTTAAGGCTTATTATTGTCTTTTGGGGATTAATTTCGCTTTTCTTCATTTCTCACTTGTGCAGTGGTTTCATATTCGGCTCTTAGCAGGACTCCCCGCATTCTGTTCTACCAGTCTTTCAAGAGCTCATGCAAAGTGGCATTAGGGTTTGGATTTATAGGTAAGTAAATCAAGCAAGGAAGCAGTCATCAGGACAATTCTGAATTTTAGTGATTTTAAAACAACAAGTTCTTAAGACTTTTTTTTAACAAGTTCAGTGGAGACATAGATCATATGTTATCTGTGACGACAAGTACATATGCCATAAACAAAATAAAAACACCAGTCAAAACACCATGGTATCCTTGGTTTTTCCAAGGCGAGGTAACAAAGTTGTCATTATTCTTCAACTCTATGTACTATGTCTATTTTCAGAATATCATGTATGTATATAAATTAATAATTTCATATAATCTTTTGCTTTCAAGGTTGGTGGTTATGCAGTAGAATACGAGAACTTGACATTTGTGACGGTAAGAGGAGCAGGACATTTCGTTCCAAGCTATCAACCTGGCCGTGCATTAACCATGTTCTCATCCTTCATCAACGGCACACTCCCTCCTCACCTGCACTAAACAGAAGAGAAAAGATTATTGAGGGGGAAAAAGAAAAGGAAAGCTGATTTCATAAGGAACATTAATTTTGTAGAACTATTACCAATTATGTTCCTCCTATGATATGAGACGTGTAGTATGAATGATGGAGTAGTGTTTTTCTCATAGGTCACTTTAACATATGTCATTCCAAATGACTAGTTGCATTGCTTTATCAGAAACGGACACTAAGATCAGCATCGAAACGAACATACTTTCACAAATTTTATACTCTAACTTAAAAATAACATTCACAAACCTTAACCCTTGCCTCAACAAAAAATGAATCAAAATGAAACCCAACAAACTTAAAGAAAGACAAATAATTTTGTTTCCGCTGGCTTCATCATCCCGCAAATACGAAGAAAAGGGAAAAGAAGTTATGGTAATATTTTTCATTGAGTTTAAGTTATGTATACTATTAAATGTAATACTCATCTTCATTCTCTCTTATGTTGAGCCCTTGCCGTCGTCTGATCGAGAACAACCAAAAAATGACAGCCAACAATCTCCTTAATATATAGTAGTACGACTACTTCCTTTTGTCAATTTCCAAAGTGATTAAAACAACTTATTAAGGAACAAGAAATAGTTGTTAAATGCACATATATATGGCGTTTTAACCAAAGAGCACAAATGACAAAGATGATAGTCCAATTTGATTACAACAGACAATATCTGACGACTTTCTCAATATTTTGCATAGGATATATAGCAAAGAAGAGTTATTGTTGAGCTATCACTCACCATTTCTTGTTTCATTAAATTAGGAAGGAAGAGAATGAATATTTCCTCTGTTTTAAGTCTAATTCTGATTTTGTGCTACCTAAGTGCCCAACAATGTTACGCAGGGGAAGTAGATGTTCTACGAGAATTTCTCAAGGCTCGAAGGACAAAAACAACAAATGTTATTAGCCAAGGCGTAGCGGTTGCTGAGAAACAGAGATCAGTGTCTGAATTCATAGTGCCACAGGTAGGATCAAAGGAAAATGACAAGATATCGGCATTGCCAGGGCAACCAAGTGGGATCAATTTTACTCAATATTCAGGATATGTGACTGTTAATGCTGATGCTGGTAGAGCCCTCTTCTATTACTTGGCAGAATCATCTAATGATCCTGCTACAAAGCCTCTTGTTTTGTGGCTAAACGGAGGTAAATAAACACATCACACTGCGCTAATTACTAGAATTGTCTTCCGAACTTAACCTTATGACCTTACGCATTTTGTTTCTAGGACCTGGTTGCTCTTCATTTGGAAATGGAGGGATGGTGGAACTTGGACCATTTCGCGTCAATAAAGATGGGAAAACCTTGTGGCTCAATCAATTTGCCTGGAACAATGGTACTTCATGTTATTCTTACAATAACCAGGTTAATAAACAAAAACAGAAATAAGATGAAGTAGAAAAAATATAAAATACAAGAATTAATTCGAGTCCAAGAAACTATTGTGTGTCCTTAAGAAATTTAATCCCCTTGCTGTATCCAAGGTTATGGATTAATTTCTCCCAAGATAAAACGGATTAAACCTGTTAAAGAAATAGCGGTACCTCAAACTTCTTTAACTTCAACGAACTTAAGAACAGCAACAAGTCACACAGACTCAGTCGATCGACACTTTGATTTTTATTTGAGAATAAAAAAATTCACAGAAAGAAAAATTTTCAGTGTTTGAAAAATCAAAAATTGACTTCCTTTTATAGCCATTTTCAGCAAGGAACATGTCTGTTCAGTGAAATCTGTTCAGACCCATTTTATCCAGAAAGTTGTGTCTTTTGAAAAAAAAATAACAACTTTTCGAAAAAATGTGTCTGTTAGGAAAATAACTACTTTTTGAAAAGTAACGACTTTTCGAAATGTTACCGTTACCCGTAAATTTATAAGAGATAATATTAACAGGATTTATTTGATTTAACAAAAACTGATTAAATAAATTTTGTCTAAAAAATTTATCAAATCCAAAGCCGAGCGACGACGGCGCGAGGGCATCTTCTTCTTATCTCTTTTAAGAAGTAATGGAAGTGTTTCCTTCTACAAGGACAACAATTTCCATTTCTTTTGCTGATATGGGAGAAAAGTAGTTCCCTCACTTTTCATATTCTCTCTTTTCTTTTCCTATTCACACTTGCTAAAACCCAACCCTTCATAGCAAAATCTACCATCACTACTGAAAAAAAAACTATAAATAATGACACTTTTGTGACTATAATTATGCAGTGGCAAATGTCCTGTTTTTGGAATCACCAGCTGGTGTTGGATTCTCTTATTCTAATACATCATCAGATTATGCTACTGGAGACGAAAAAACTAGACAAGACAGTTTCACCTTTCTCGTCAATTGGATGGAAAGATACCCAGAATATAAACACCGCGATTTCTACATTGTTGGGGAGAGTTATGCCGGTCACTACGTACCTCAACTTGCTCAGCTAATCTTATCTCACAAGAAAACAGAACCCAACCTTGTCATTAACTTGCAAGGAATTGCAGTAAGCTAATTAAACTTGTTCAAATGATAATTATCTTCTTTTAATACTGACCAGGCCACTGATGTTATCTTAATTGCACATGACATGATTTTCAGACTGGAAATGCCCTCCTTGACGATGAAACATGGAATAGTGGTTCCTACGACTTTTATTGGACGCACGCACTAATATCAGATGAAGTCCATGAAGGAATTGTCAAGAATTGCAACTTCTCGACAGAAACATCGACCTCAGAAGCTTGTGACAGGTACACAAGTGAAGCAGATTCATGTCAAGCCAATATATATGATTATAACACATACTCTCAACTGTGCAACTCCTCTGCCTATACTTCCCTTCCTGTAAGTTCCACTGACTAACTGCTGATTTGTTGCCAGTGTATTTATCAATCTAAATAATAGTGTCAGAAATTAAAGTGAGTGAAAAATGAAAGACCATGCTCAACGACATTCTACGCCCAAATTACAAGCAATCTATAGCATAACTTGTTCTTTTTGTGTATCATAACAGATAGATGGATTTGATCCATGCTCAGCTGATTACGTAGAGAATTACCTAAATACAGATGAAGTACAGAAGGCACTTAATATCAGAGATATACCCCATTCCTGGGAATCTTGCAGGTAGATGCTTTTTCAAAAAAACATTTTAATTCTTCAAAATAGTGACCTTTGCCCCTCTCTTTTTGGATATATATAATTTGATCATTTGTGCAGTGGTTACGTACACGGTTTTTGGCAAGACTCCCCAGATACTGTTCTGCCAATCTACAAAGAGCTCATGCAAAGTGATATTCGGGTTTGGATATATAGGTAAGTAAATCAAGCAAAGAATTAGGTTCGTAGTATAATAGTAAATTTGTCTGCTAGGCTCTAGCTCAAGACACTCTGCTTCATCCTTCTTATTTTTCCAGCGGAGACATAGATCATATTTTGCCTGTAACAACAAGTAGATATGGTATCGACAAAATCAAAACACCAATCAAAACGGCATGGTACCCGTGGTTCTTCCAAGGGGAGGTAATTAACCAAGTTGTCATCATTAGTTTTGATCTTCAACTTTACAATTTCTTAATTTCCAGTATTATTTCATATTTCCAGGTTGGTGGTTACGCAGTAGAGTACCAGAACTTGACATTCGTGACAGTGCGTGGAGCAGGTCATTTCGTGCCAAGCTATCAACCTGGCCGTGCATTAACCATGTTCTCATCCTTCATCAACGGGACACTCCCTCCTCGTTTCGATTAAACAGAAGATACATTGTGAAAAAAGGATTGCTGGTTTCATATGGAATAGAATTTGTAGAATTAATTAGTTATGACATTACTGTTTTATGGTTTTTATTCAAGCATGAGAGGGCTTTTAACTTTTATGGAAAATTTATAAAATGTTTAACTTGTTTAGTCATGTCTCATTTAACGTTTCTTTCTACTCTATCGAGTCTTTTAAAAATTTGTTGAACCCACAACATGAAGATGAATTTGAAATCCCTCGACCATTGAGCCAAGTTTATCAGTTGTGTCAAAGGGGGTTCAATATGCATTTTGTATTTATAATAAATACTCTCATGTCTTTTGTGGTTAGTTCCAAAAAGAATATCATATTTTTTTATATGATAAGTATTTAAAGGTATAATTTCTCTTTTATCCTTATTGGTCTCACTTAATTATCTAATACGTTTATGAGGGGAGAGAAAAGTGAGTTACTTTTTTGAAGGACAATTTGGTAAATATTTCTAAGTCTTTATTATTTCTTAAACTCCGTGCTGGTTAAAATGTTGTCACATAAAATGAAACGGGGAGAGTAGCAGATTTGGCACACGTAGTAGTAAGTTTTCCTTTCACTATGATGTATTTTCATTGTGTGGTTTGGTTTAACGAACATTTATTTATGCTGAAAGCCTGATGCATGAATTACTTTTGCAATGAATGATATAGTAGGGATTGTTATTTTGAGATTTGTTTATTTTACGAACTTTTTTGTCTTTAATATTGACTCTATTCATTGTAATGCTAAGATTCTTACTTCATATTCTATTTCGCCCAAAATAATACACGGACTTTGATATAATTTCAATTTTGTAGATATTAGCCAATAGTTTAATAAGGCCAATCAAAAGATATACAGTAATAATTCAGGTGCATTTTATTTTGCATTTATTTTGCATTTGATTGGAGATATTAGGGTAATTATTAAATTATTTATATCACCATTTATATTTTGGTAATGAGATGAGTTATTCCAGATATATGGTGCGGAATAACTTATTTTATAATAATTAGTTTTGAAATTACTTGTTCCCTACCAAACATAAAACTGACCCTAGTATTTCTTATGACCTGGTCAACCAAATCACGCTCTAGTGTATATAAAAGATAGAATGGAGTAATACTCTCCATCTCAAGGTAATTAAATGTAGCACGTCATCGGTGGAAGTTGAACTAGGAGTATTTAATGGAGTAATAAACTTTACGAAGTTATATACACTGTCAATATAGTACTCATCTTCACGGATTGACAATGACACCAAAATCAAAGCCAACAATCTCCTTAAGGTTTAGTAGTACGAGTACTAAAATTTATCAATTCCCCGGCTGATCGAAACAACTTATAGCTGCTAAATGTCTATGGCTTTTTAACCAAAGAGAACACATGACAAAAGATGTTAGTCAAATTTTAGTACAAGAAAATATATCTGATGACCTTCTCAACGTTTTGCATAGGCAATATAATAACGATCACTCATCATTTCTTGTTCCATTGAATTGGGAAGGAAGAGAATGAACATTTCCTCGGTTTTACCTCTATTTCTAATTTTGTGCTACATAAGTGCCCAACAATGTTACGCAGGGGAAGCAGATGTTCTACGTGAATTTCTCAAGGCTCGGCGAACAAAAACAAGAAATGTTATGAGTCAAGGCCTAGCTGTTGCTGATAAACAGATATCAGTGTCAAAATTCATAGTGCCACAGGTAGGATCAAAGAAAAATGACAAGATCTCGGCATTGCCAGGGCAACCAAAAGGCATCAATTTTGCACAATATTCAGGATATGTAACTGTTGATGCTAATGCTGGTAGAGCTTTGTTCTATTACTTTGCAGAATCATCTAATGACCCTTCTACCAAGCCTCTTGTTTTGTGGCTAAATGGAGGTAAATACACATACAAATCAACTTGTCATATTGATATGTTAAAAATCACAAATTTTAAAAGGTACTTTTGGATGAATTTGATAGGACCTGGTTGCTCTTCATTCGGGAATGGAGGGATGGCGGAACTTGGACCATTCCGCGTCAATGAAGACGGAAAAACATTGTGGCTCAACCCATTTGCCTGGAACAAAGGTACTTCATAGCAAAATCTATCATCAGTACAGGAAGAAAAAACAAATCAGAAATCTATAAATAACAATGTCATTTTTGTGACTATGATTATGCAGTGGCAAATGTCCTGTTTTTAGAATCACCAGCTGGTGTTGGATTCTCTTATTCTAATACATCATCAGATTATACCACTGGTGACGAAAAAACTAGACAAGACAGTTTCACATTTCTCGTCAATTGGATGGAAAGATTCTCAGAATATAAAAATCGCTATTTCTACATTATTGGGGAGAGTTATGCTGGTCACTATGTACCTCAACTTGCTCAATTGATCTTATCTCAGAAGAAAACAAAACACAACCTTGTCATCAACTTGCAAGGAATAGCTGTAAGCTAATTAAACTTGTTCAAATGATATTTATCTTCTTTTAATACTGACTAGGCCACTAATGTTATCTTATTTGCATATGACATGATTTTCAGACTGGAAATGCCCTCCTTGACGATGAAACATGGAATAGTGGTTCATACGACTTTTATTGGACACACGCACTAATATCAGATGAAGTCCATGATGGAATTGTCAAGAATTGCAACTTCTCGACAGAAACGTCTACCTCAGAAGCTTGTGACAAGTACACAAGTGAAGCAGATTCATGTCAAGGCAATATATATAGTTATAACACATATTCCCAACTCTGCAACTCCTCTTCCTATACTTCCCTTCCTGTAAGTTCCATTGGTTAACTCATGACTTGTTCCCTGTGTTTATACCAATCTAAATAATTCGAGGTTTTAACCAAACTAAGTCATTATATAAAGTCATTCACCAAAATAATATGTTTTTTTAAAATTTTACAAAACTAGTATAAACGTATTCCACAGTAATGTTTTAGGATATATTTTATTTTTTAAAAGTTGATGGGTCAGATTGATATACGTTACACACAGTAACGTTTTAGGAGTAAAACGTTACTCACAGTAACATTTTACTCCTAAAACGTTACTCATAGTAATGTTTTAGGAGTAAAACGTTACTGAAAATAACGTTTTAGGAGTAAAACGTTACTTACAGTAACGTATATCAACCTAATGTTGTTAGTTTTTTTTTTAAAAAAAATATACCCTAAAACGTTACCATGAAATACGTTTTGTACTAGTTTTGTAAAATTTTAAAAAAATGTATTACTTTGGTAAATTATTTTATATAATGGCTTAGTTTGGTTAAAAATTCAAATAATTCAACATCTTAAGTGTCACAATTCAAGGCAAAAGTAAAATAAAAGACCATGCTCACCGGCATTCTACGCCCAAATTTACAAGCAATTATCTATAGCATAACTTTTTCGTTTTTGTATCATAACAGATAGATGGATTTGATCCATGCTCAGCTGATTACGTAGAGAATTACCTCAACACTGCTGAAGTGCAAAAGGCACTTAAAGTCAGAGATATACCCCATTCCTGGGAGTCTTGCAGGTAGGTAGATTCTGTGATTTTTTTACAACAATTTAATTCTTCAAATTGAAATTGCTGATCCTTTTTCCGATTAATTTGATCACTTGCTTCAATCCTCACTTGTGCAGTGATGACATAGGCGGCTATTGGCAAGACTCCCCGAATACTGTTCTACCAATCTTCCAAGAACTCATGCAAAGTGGCATCAGAGTTTGGATTTATAGGTAAGTAAAATCAAACAAGCTGGAATCAGTCACCATAAAACTAATAATGTAAACTTTCGCAATCCCGAAATATATATCATTTTCAGATGAAGCCCCTCTTCTTCTTCTTTTCCAGTGGAGACGTAGATCATATTTTGTCTGTAACGACAAGTAGATATGCTATCAACAAAATCAAAACACCAATTAAAACGGCATGGTACCCATGGTTCTTCAATGGGGAGGTAATCAACGATGTTGTCATTATAAGATCTTCAAACCCTACAATTTCTTAATTTCCAGTATGAATATGAATCAAGTATTTCATATCTCCAGGTTGGTGGTTACGCAGTAGAATACCAGAACTTAACATTTGTGACGGTCAGAGGAGCAGGACATCTCGTGCCAAGCTATCAACCTGGCCGTGCATTGACCATGTTCTCGTCCTTCATCAATGGCACACTCCCTCCTGGTTTCCATTAAACAGAAGATACATTCTTCCTTATCCGCAGCAAAACAAATATCATGGATCGACTGATGCAACAATATCTAGTGAAGCTTAACAATGACTTATAGTCTACTCATTCTTCTTGAGTTTTTTCTTCTTGGTATTTTCTTCAGCTATTCTCTGAGTTATATCGCAACTTATATAGACTATTGAACATGTTTTACTCTATGTAATAAGCACTAGAACTACAAATTCTTCAACACTTCATACTCTTTAAGATCGAGTTCAATTGCAAAAGAAGCATCTAAACAAACAAATTTTATACTCCTGTGACTTAAAAATAACATCCATAAACCCTAACTCTTGTCTCAACAAAATTGATCAAAATCAAGCACAAATTTCTCATGAAGAAAAACACAAACGCACAATTTTGTTTGCGCCGGCTTCATCATTCAATGAATATGAAGAAATTGAAAAAATAAATCAGAAAAGCACAACAGAATGGCAAAATTTCTATATCACGAGGAAGTATTTACGCTACGGGGCGAATTGAGTAAATTTGGAGGCGTAAATTCTGTTCGCGCTAAACATGTACAGTAGCGCGTGATATATTTTGGGGAAAAGTTGAAAAAACTAAACAGGAGGAAGAAAACAAAGTTAACGAACCGTTACTATAAACAGAACAGTTATAAATAGGAACAATTTTCTCATTTATTTGGTTAAAATTAAGATATTTTGATCTAAATGCACATATTAGTTAACCCTACTTGATTTTTCAATATATGAATGTATAAAATTTGTTTTTGTTTAAAAAATAATAAAGATAAATTTTTTATAAAATACTAAATTGATATACTATACATAAGTTACTTTTTAAAAAATTATATGACACTTAGTGATGGAAGCAATTGTGTGTGTCAATGACAAGCGAGGGTGATTGTGAATAATATTTTATGGCATAGTGATTGACAGTACTGATTAGTTATGGTTGTTGATTGTAGTGATTGATAATTAGTAGCGAAATGATGATGATGGTTAATTATATATAATATTGATCAATGATGATGATTATGTATAATGATTAGTGAATGAAATAATTATTGATGGTGATGAAATCGGAGGATGGGTAATGGTAAGGAAACAACTTATTAAGGAACAAGTTGGCGTTTTAACCAAAGAGCACAAATGACAAAAGATGTTAGTCCAATTTTAGTACAAGAAAATATATCTGACGACCTTCTCAACATTTTGCATAGGATATATAGTAAAGAAAAGTTATCGTTGAGTTATCACTCACCATTTCTTGTTTCATTAAATCAGGAAGGAAGAGAATGAACATTTCTTCTGTTTTAAGTGTAATTCTAATTTTGTGCTACCTAAGTGCCCGACAATGTTACGCAGGGGAAGTAGATGTTCTACGAGAATTTCTCAAGGCTCGAAGGACAAAAACAACAAATGTTATTAGCCAAGGCGTAGCGGTTGCTGAGAAACAGAGATCAGTGTCTGAATTCATAGTGCCACAGGTAGGATCAAAGGAAAATGACAAGATCTCGGCATTGCCAGGGCAACCAAGTGGGATCAATTTTGCTCAATATTCAGGATATGTGACTGTTAATGCTGATTCTGGTAGAGCCCTATTCTATTACTTGGCAGAATCATCTAATGATCCTGCTACAAAGCCTCTTGTTTTGTGGCTAAATGGAGGTAAATAAACACATCACACTGCGCTAATTACTAGAATTGTCTTCCGAACTTAACCTTATGACCTTACACATTTTTTTTCTAGGACCTGGTTGCTCTTCATTCGGAAATGGAGGGATGGTGGAACTTGGACCATTTCGCGTCAATAAAGATGGGAAAACCTTGTGGCTCAATCAATTTGCCTGGAACAATGGTACTTCATAGCAAAATCTATCATCACTACTGAAAAAAAAATCAGAAAATCCATAAATAACAACACATTTTTGTGACAATGATTATGCAGTGGCAAATGTCCTGTTTTTAGAATCACCAGCAGGTGTTGGATTCTCTTATTCTAATACATCATCAGATTATACTAGTGGAGATGAAAAGACTAAACGAGACAGTTTCACTTTTCTCGTCAATTGGATGGAAAGATTCCCAGAATATAAAAACCGTGATTTCTATATTGTTGGGGAGAGTTATGCTGGGCACTATGTTCCCCAACTTGCTCAGCTGATCTTATCCCACAAGAAATCAGAACCCAACCTTGTCATTAACTTGCAAGGAATAGCTGTAAGCTGATTAATCTTGTTCAAATGACAATTCATTTTTTTCCTTCTTGTAGGAGTCACAATATTAAATCTTATTAATTTGCATGTGGCATGATTTTAAGACTGGAAATGCCCTCCTCGACGATGAAACTTCAAACAGTGGTTCATACGACTTTTATTGGTCACACGCACTAATATCAGATGAAGTCCATGAAGGAATTATAAAGAATTGCAACTTTTCAACAGAAACAACTATCTCAGAAGCTTGTGATGAATTCACAAGCGAAGCAGATTCATGTCAAGCCAATTTATATGATTATAACACATATTCCCAGCTCTGCAACTCCTCTGCCTATACTTCCCTTCCTGTAAGTTCCACAGGCTAACTTCTCATTCCTTCGCCATGTTTATATAGGACAACTCAAAATTTAAGTGTCTCAAATTAAGATGAAAGTGAAATAAAAGACCATGAACAACAGCATTCTACGCCCAAATTAAAAGCAATGATCTGTAGCATAACTTTTTCTTTTGTGTACAATAACAGATAGATGGATTTGATCCATGCTCAGCTGATTACGTATTTAATTACCTAAACACTGCTGAAGTGCAAAAGGCACTCAATGTCAGAGATATACCCCAATCCTGGGAATCTTGCAGGTAATTGATACTGTGAGTTTTCAAACATTTTAACACTTCAAATCGAAATTGCTGATCCCTCTTGCGATTAATTTGATCACTTTCTTAAACATTTTAAACTTGTCCAGTGGCATCTCTTGGGAAGACTCCCCACATACTGTTCTACCAATCTTTCAAGAGCTCATGCAAAGTGGCATTAGAGTTTGGATTTACAGGTAAGAGAATCGAACAAGCTGGAATCAGTCACCATAAAATTAATACTGAAAACTTTCGCAATCACTATACAAAATACCAACATTTTCATCTTCTTTTCTAGTGGAGACATAGATCATATTTTGCCTGTAACGACAAGTAGATATGCTATCGACAAAATCAAAACACCAATCAAAACGGCATGGTACCCCTGGTTCTTCCAAGGAGAGGTAATTAACCAAGTTGTCCTCATTCATTTCGATCTTCAACTCTACAAGTAATTAAGTATTTGATATCTCCAGGTTGGTGGTTATGCTGTAGAATACCAAAACTTGACATTCGTGACAGTACGTGGAGCAGGACATTTCGTGCCAAGCTATCAACCTGGCCGTGCATTGACCATGTTTTCATCCTTCATCAATGGGACACTCCCTCCTCGTTTCAATTAAACAGAAGATACATTGTGAAAAAGGGATTGCTGGTTTCACATGGAATAGATTTTGTAGAATTAATAGTTATTTCATTACCGTTGTATTGTTTGTATTCGAGCACGAGAGGGCTTATGATTCCTTTCTGTATGTCAAATTAAAAATATGAAATATTTAATTTGGACGATTTTTGATGCCTTTTCATATGTCTTTCATCAAATCTTTCAAGTGTTTAAATTAGTACTCGATATGGTTAAAATTATGCAACTATAATAATATAGATATTAATTATTTAATCTTCTAGACCACATAAAAAAATAAGTTAGCAAATTTAACATTATACTTAGTCCATTTTAATTTATTTGACCTAATTTTGCTTTATCATTTAATAAAAATATCTCTTTTCGAAGAAACTTTAATTATAACTTTTTCATACATATCCATGTATTAGTAATACCAAACCTTAATGTCTCGCGAGGGTCATTGCGGAGGAGTCAAAAAGATTCCATGGCTTTGAGGTTGGCCAGCTGGAGTAACAGAGTGAGCTGTCCTTGCGGGCTTCCGGCGAAGGAGAATGCCACCGCCCACCGCCCACCGCCGTTGTGGATGTACTGTTTCTTCTACAATGTCGTTGAGGTTCGGCGATCTACTTCTTCTCGTTTTCTATGAATGGGTTGATTAATTGACCCGTTAACATACCCAAATTGGGCGAGTTACATGTTCATTAGTCAAATTTGCCACCTCCAGATACAATTATCCATCTGCATTTGTTATCCTAATATTATATGAATAGGGTTTAAAATTGCAATTGATACTGACATTTGACGAATGTGAACGTAATTACATAACAGTGAGTGCTGATGCATCTTTTGGATAAAAAATACAATAATGAGAAAGATAACAGAATTATGAAACAAACCCAACATATAAAGTAGGATTGCTAATTTGAACAGAAACAAACACAACAGCCCTAATAATGAAATTGAATGAGTGTACTCTTTTGATTATTTTGTGAATTAGTATGAGAGCTATCATCATGAAGAAACACAAATCTAGCTGTCTGCATCACTCATAATCATACTTGAAAAGCCTAGACCATAAGTTTCTCTTTTTAGGTAACTGTTCAATGTTGTCTTTATTCCTTTCTGAACTACTTTTTCTAATTTCTGGCTGTTCGAAAACAACATGAAATTTAAAGCCAACAAACCATCCTTACTATATATCCTTAATTTTTGTGTGACATTTAACCGATGAAATAAAGGACAAAGATGTCGCTACCACGGATTCAATTACAAGTCAGTGTTTAGCTTACTTTATAAATAATGAAGAAGAATGATCCTTGAGTTATCACTCAATATTGTTTGTTCTTGAATGAGTAGGAAGAAAATGAAAGCTAACTCTGTTTTAACTCTTTCTCTAATTTTGTGCTGTCTAAGTGCCCAACAATATTGTTATGCAGGAGAAGCGGATGTTCTACGTGAATTTCTCAAGACCCGAAGGGCAAAAACAACTATTATTAACCACGGCCTAGCAGCTTCTGAGAAACAGAGATCAGTGTCAGAACTCATAGTGCCACAGGCAGGATCAAAGGAAAATGATAAGATCTCAGCATTGCCAGAGCAACCAAGTGCAGTCAGGTTTAATCAATATGCAGGATATGTTACTGTTGATGCAAATGCTGGTAGGGCCTTGTTCTATTACTTGGCTGAATCATCTGGTGACCCTTCGACAAAGCCTCTCGTTTTGTGGCTAAATGGAGGTAAACACACACACCACACCCATGTTACCCGAATTGCCAAGAGGAGGAATGTTTTAATTTCTAATGCTAGCTTGCTTCATGCAAACCTAGTTAAGAGTTTAATCTCATATTTTTCTTGCCTTAGGATTTACTGTGTTATTATGAGTTGGCTGTGTTTCTTAAGAGCTTATCATGTTTCCTTTGTTGTTTTTGTATATAATTGGTATATAGGGCCTGGTTGCTCTTCATTAGGGGCTGGGGCAATGATTGAACTTGGACCGTTCCGCGTTAATAATGATGGAAAAACCTTATGGCTGAACCAATTTGCATGGAACAATGGTACTTAACTACCTCTTTCTTAAGCTAGAAAAATCTGTCGTCATTTGGGTGCAACAATGATACCTTTTTGACATTAATGCAGTGGCGAACATCCTCTTTTTAGAATCACCAGCTGGTGTTGGATTCTCTTACTCTAATACATCATCAGATTATACTACTGGAGACGAAAAAACTAGAAAAGACAGTTTCACCTTTCTCCTCAATTGGATGGAAAGATTCCCAGAATATAAACATCGAGATTTCTATATTGTTGGAGAAAGTTATGCTGGCCACTATGTGCCTCAACTTGCTCAGCTGATCTTATCCCACAGGAAAACAGAGCCCAACCTTGTTATTAACTTGCAAGGGATAGCTGTAAGCTAATTAAGCTTATTCAAAATGATAATTACATATTCTTCCTCCTGATTAAGTCACTGCTATTATATTATTTGCATAGTAATGTAATTTTTTTTCAGACAGGGAATGCCCTCCTAGACGATGAAACAATGAGGAGGGGTTCATACGACTTTTATTGGACACATGCACTAATATCAGATGAAGTCCATGACGGAATTGTCAAGAATTGCAACTTCTCAACAGAGACAACCTCAGAAGCTTGTGACAAGTACATTAAGCAAGCAGGTTCATCTCTAGGAAACATATATGGCTATGACATTTATGCCCCACTGTGCAACTCTAATGCCACTTCACTTCCTGTAAGTTCTGAACTGGCTAACTACTCATTTGTTGTTATTGAGAAGATTTTCATTTACTATTGCTGGTTGTGTAAGTAAATGAACATTAAGTGTCACAAGTAAGAAATAAATTATTAGATACAACAGGCCTATAAACCTGCTTCTTATTCTACACTTCGGATGTTTTCGTCCCCCATTTCTCTAGCATGCACACCCGCGATATCAATAAATGCACATTTCAAGATCTCATCAATCAAGAAGGGTCTATAAATTTTCCAATATAAATAAAAGGATATAATAGAAGTATATATCTACACCATGCATAACATCATCCAACGCTTCAACTAGCACCCCTCTGCAGATTTTACATGCGTTTTATTAGATTTCTAACTTTTTTTCTTTTATTTAAAACAGGTATGTGGATTTGATCCATGTTCAGACAATTATGTAAACTCTTACCTAAACTCTGCTGAAGTACAAAAGGCACTTAATGTCAGAGGAATACCATATTCCTGGGCTGCTTGCAGGTAATACATACCGTGATTTTTTATAACATTTTCGCTTCAAATTGGAAAAGCTGATGTTTTTTCTTCTTGGCTTAAATTTGCTTCAATTCTCACTTGTGCAGTACAGACTTGATTTGGCAGGACTGGCCGCCTACTGTTCTACCGATCTTTCAGGGGCTCATGAAAAGTGGAATTAGGGTTTGGATATATAGGTAAGAAGATGGGGAAAAATAGGAAGTTGTACAGTTCAGTAAGAATAACACTTTCTGATGATTTTAACGTGTAATTACAGCGGAGATACAGATAGTGTTTTGGCTGTGACAACGACTAGATATGCTATAAACAAAATCAAGACAGCAGTGAAAACACCGTGGTACCCTTGGTACTTCCAAGGCGAGGTAAACAAAGTGGTCATTATATATACTTGACTTGTACCATATTTACAAATACTTTGTTCCAAGTTGATATTATCTTTTTTGTTTCAAGGTTGGTGGTCATGCAGTGGAATACGAGAACTTGACATTTGTAACAGTAAGAGGAGCTGGACATTTCGTGCCAAGCTATCAACCTGGTCGTGCATTGACCATGTTCTCATCCTTCATCAATGGCACACTCCCTCCTCATCTGCACTAAACAGAGGAGAAAATCTTATAATAAAATAAAAAAGTACGTAGTAGTTATGCAGATGCCATTCCAGATGTTATCTTGTTGCACATTGAACAGTTTCATTTTTACCTGCAAGGTTAGATCAACGCATAACGAACAAAGACTTATTATAAGTCGTGTTAATCTCCATTTTAATATAATTAATACCTAAGTCAAATTGTCTCTCTAACTATCTGAAATTGAACAATTTTGTCATTTGTTAAATTTTTGGTCTCCTATTATGGGAAAGCCTCATTTTTGCCCTTGAACCCAAACCAATTCCAATTTAAGAGCAATCCTATCAAAAATTGAGGTGTAAATTTGAACCTTTTTTCCTCAAGTAATTAGGATACAACCATTAGGGCTAATGACAAGTGTACGATCAATAGACCAAATTATGCAAATTTTAGATATTACACGGGCAAATTTGGACCTTTTCCCATTTGATTATAACTTCATATTTTTTTTCCCCTCAACTGATTTCTCTCTGATGAAAGCAGATTTAGAATTCGAAATTTAATATAATTACAACATTTGTCGTAAAAATACTAATTGTATATAGAAAAAGGAAAACAAACTTAGTTGATTTTAACAGTTACAAGTCCTCCGTCAATATATTTGGGCATATCCTCTTGACAATAACTCCCACATGCAAGTAGCCTTTTTGCTTCGACTATTTTTATTTTATTTTATAATCAACACGTGTATATATAAAATCACATCTACTTGGTTTTCCAACAACTCCAATGTAGGATTATAAATATATATGTATTTGCAATTATATTGTGTTACTAGTCGCTTAGTGAACCAGAAGATTGACAAATCTCATAATACGTGCTAAATTTATGGGCATATGATATTTGACATGCAAAGCACGTATATACATATTTCTTAGAATTAGTCTCTTGTTAGGTATAAGTGGACGCATGTTACAGAGGTCGACTTAAATTGAAATGTTTTAATTCGTTTAATTCTATTAAGTTTTAATTGTTTTATTTGATTTTTTAGTATTTAAATAGTTTTATTTTATATTTATATATCAAATAAATTTTTAAAAAAAAATTAAAAATGTTTTAACAAGATCTTTTATGAATCAATCCGTGCTAGGGAATTAGGTATATAAACATCAACCCAAACATGCTAAAATGAGTTTGGACTAATATAGACGGATCAATATGATAATTTATGCAATAGATTGATCATCTCTAGGTATATGTGTACACAGTACTGTAAATTTATTCCAAATTCAATGGCTAGAATCAGTAAACGGTCTTTTATGATCACGTTTTCGAGTATGTTTTAGTTTAATCACCGATTTAACATAGTGCTTAATTAAATTTTGGTCAAACCACGATCATCTAG